CAGCTGAAGTATTGAGTTTGAATTCCTGCTATGAATTAAGTGCAGAACTATTAAATTTTAATTGGTATTTTGTTTCATACTTTTGGCACCAGTTTTTTCTGTTTTGGCTTTAGTGTATTTTTTAAGCTGCTCATACCCAAAATTTCAGTCTCTGGGTTGTTGGTAAAATTCTCTCTAGTGTCCAGGTGGGGGTAGCTTGCCTTTTGCTTTACCATTTTGGTGCCTCTCCCCCTTTCTACTCTTTTCCACTCTCTAGCAGTCAGTTGGTGTTGGCACTTCTCTGTCAGAAACTGGTACACCCTCTGAATCTTTCAATTGTCGTCCTTCCTGAGAGAGTACCATGTAATGCAAGTCAGAGGGGTTTTAGTTAGTCTTTGCAGGTCCCTATGAAAATGATAAATGTCAAGTTCAGGGCAAAGATAGTTTTTTTTTCCTTGGTCCTGGGGAATCTAACTCAGGACCTTGTGCTTGCTAGGCAGGCAGGGCACCACTGAGCTTCATACCCAGCAGGACAGTTTCTTAGTAATACAAGAGAGTAACTGTTTTATTTTATTAACATTAAGCTTAGTGTGGCTTGAGCTTGGCTGCTCTGAGTTTGACGTTTATCCTATCTTGTGAACAAATAGAATTGTAGACCTGGTAAGGATAGGGGGCTTGGCTAGGCCTTGGCTGATAATGTTTTTGCACACAGGTCTGTAGTAAGCGCTGGCTTGCAGGCCGCAGAACTTCCTGAGCATTAATTTGGAAAAGAATCAGCCAAAAAAGCATCCACCTCTCTTACTTTATTTTGTTGTGGTACTGATGACTGAACCTAGAGGTAATCTACTGCTAAGCTATACCCTCAGCCCTATTTATTTATTTAAAAACTGGAGATTGAACCCAGGGCTTTAGCACTGAGCTACATCTGAAGCCCCTTTTAAAAATTTTTTATTTTGAGACAGAGTCTCACTGAGTTGCTTGAGCTTAGCTCAAACTTGGATCTCCTTGCCTTAGTGTCCTAAGTATCTGAGATTATAGGTGGTGCTATCATACCTGGTTTGTTTATTTATTTATTTATTTATTTGTAAACATGTACAGGGTTCTGCCAAAGAAACTTAGGTTTTTATGATGTGGTTATCTTAATTATTTATGGTAGTTTTCTTGTTATAAACTCATTAAAAGCAAGCTTGTTGATAGTATGTGGGAGTGGGTACCTAACCTATAAAGGATGGGACAGTAGTGTATGTGGGAGTGTGTGGCTCTGAAGGGTAGAGAGCTATTCAGAACAAGAAACATTACCCCTAGCCGACAGTATGACCTGGCAGCTCTGGTGGCATTTTTCTTTGCTCAAAGTTTTTTTTTTTTTTCAGCTTTAATTGAATTTATTGGTACATTTTAGGGATACAGTACAGTTACATTCATTGTTGGGATCTTGTACCTCTACATGACAAGTCTTGATTCTCATTTTTTCCCCTTACCCCTGCCCTCCCTTCACCCCCTCCTCCTGCTCAAAGTTTTGATGTTGGATGTTTCCCAGATAAAGAACTTCAGATTTTCCTAAATAGTCGCTGTTCTATTTTTGGCAGTGGATCTATTTTTACTCACATAGTTTATTGCCTTGTGAGAGCAGTGGGAGGAGGCCCCTAAGGATTTTGGAGTAAGCAAATGGTGTCATAGGAAGATAAATGAATTGGCAGCAGGCTGGGTTATTTGTGACCTTTAGTAATGCTGTGCAGTCCCAGAGCAGAAAAAATGGGTGAAGCAGGTTTTCTGGAGTTAAAAGTTGGTGTAGCCAAAGGCTGTGTTGTAGAGACATTGGTAAAATGGCATACTCCTGAAGACCAGGAGCATATTTTGGCTTAGCCGGGGTGTGCTGGTACACTTAACAGTAATCCCTGCACTCTGGTAAATTGAGGCAGGAGGATTGCAGATTCAATCCCAGTTTGGGCAGCTGTCTCAAGACTTCAAAGAAGGCAGGGGATTTAGCTCAATAATTCTGCTGCCTGCTTTGCAAGCCCAAGGACCTGAGTTCGATCCCCTGTACAAAACAAACAAACAAACAAACAAACAAAAAATTTGAAAGAAAAAGCCTGGGGATGTAGCTGAGTGTAAAGGTTCTGGATTTAATTTCCAGTGCTGCAAAAGGCCAGCAGGGAGTCCTTACAAAAAGTGGGGAAGAGGGTCTTTATATACGGGAAAGGTCAGTCAGCTTAAGATTTTTCAAGAATGGTAGGTGTAAGTGCGATTAAATGAGGTGGGAAAATGGGGAGGAAGGCAACAAGCCAGAAGCAGCTCCTTAGAAGTGGCTGATAGTAGCCAGGAAGACTTAGAACCCAGTGTGGCTACCTTGAGAGCAGCGGATGTTGGTGAAAATGAAGGTTTATCATTGGTATTGAGTGTGAAAAAAAAAAAAGGTTGAGTATCATGATATAGGTCTGTTCCATCTCAAATTCTATATTTGCTTCATATTCCTCATTAGAAACTATTTGGAAATTATGATTGTAAAGTACAGAATCTCATCTCTGTAAGTCCTACAAGTGATCATCCAGTGGCTTGGTTGGTATCGTGGTTCTTCTCATCATGCCGTGTTGCCTTCCATGTCTGCTTCTCAGTATAAAATTGAACTTTTGGTTCTTTTGGCTCCTGTATTTTAGTGCTAACACGAATCAGGATTATTTACAGTAAGTATCACCAGTCAAGACCAGCCACACATCTATTTTGTGGCTTTTGGTGGCTCTTGATTCTTGGGGGGGGTACACTTTTCCAATCGGGAAAATTCAGAGAAGTAATAAATTTTCATAAGTTTCCTTTTGTTGGCTGAGTTGTGATCTAGAAGTACTAAAAATACTATATCAAATGGCCAGTATATACATGAAAAATGGTTAATATCACTGGTCATTAGAGAAATGTAAGTTAAAACAACACTGAGAAGCCAGGGAAGGTGGTTCATGCTTGTAATCTTAAGACTAGGGAGGCTGAGACAGGAGGATCACCTTGAGTTCAAGGCCAGCCTGGACTAACTACATAGTGAGACCTTGTCTCAAAAAAACAAAACAAAAAAGTCCCAACAAAAAATAACACTGAGATACTATCTTACTCAGGATACCATCTTGAGTTCAGTCTGAGCGTTTAGTTTGACCTCAAATCAAAACCTTTCTAGGACAGAAGTACAATAAAGATCAACCCAAATGATCCCCAAGGCCTCCAATCTCAGCGTTTTTTTCCTGAGTACCAGTAAAAGGTATGATAAGAAACGAGGTTGATCCAATTAGAAGGTGTAATTGTGAGTTTCAGGAATTCCTGTAAGCATATTCTTTTTTCATCTGGAATAAACCGCCAAAAAAGGCCACTGGACAATATAATGATACCTTCAGTAGAAAAATCATTTACAGTTACTGGGAGTATTAGTGTTTATATAACAATAATCTGGTTGCCAGCCAGTCTGAATGAATCACTGTCGGTGTCAGCTGAGGGTGACTTAACACAACTAAGCAAGCAAATACTGTTGTTAGAACTCCAGCTAGTGCCTAACTAGGAAATAATTTGGTGTATTTAAGTATAGTATTTTTATTTGATTTTTTGATGATAGCCATTGAGGACAGGCTGATTGGGGCTGGCATTTTTTTTATCTCTGGTTATCAAGGCTGATTATTTTCTAGCTACATCTTATTTTTGGGTAACAAGGTAGAGACCACATTGAAGAAAGAAGTGGATTTTGGTTGATTAGAGTAGGCAAAAGAATAGAAGTCCTATTTTGTCTGGGATTTGGAGGAGGAGGATTATATAGACATTTGTTTTACCTTGTAAGAACTTGGCACAACTTTTCTCATTAAAAAAACTCCCACTAATTCTCCAAATAAGCCATCATTGTTTAGTTTCTGATTCTTTACTGCTCAGTCTTCTCAATCCATTTTAAGGATGTTATTTCAGTTTGGTGTTGATAGTTTTCTGCACTGAAATTGAAAGCCTTTCCTTTGTTGGAGGTTCCATTCTTACAGTTTAAGTAACATCTTTTTTATTGTTTCCTAAGTGCTTTGTCTTCCACTATTCCTTTTAAAATTATGGACTTTTCCTAGTAGGTCAGAGTAAGGAATCTTTCTACTTTGAAGAAGATACAGGCTCTTTTGAGGGCCTGTGAAATGTCCTATGTCAGTTATACAAGATAGTGATTTTGCTGGGCACCAGATCAGGGCTTTCTGATTTTAAGTCAGTTTTCTAGGGTTGCTGAACCGAAGTACCATGAACTGAATGGCTTAAAACAGTAGATATGTGTTCTCTCACAGTTCTGAAATGGAGGTGTTGCTCCATTGGCCATGCTCCCTCTGAAGACCCTAGGGAAGAATCCTAACCCTTACTCTCTTAGCTTTTGGTGGCTTTTGGCCATTCTTGGTGTTGTCTTATAGAGTCATCATCATTTCAGTCTCTACCTCCATTTTCACAGGTGGTTCTGTGTGTGACTATATGTATCTCAAATTCTTGCTCTCCTTAGAAGTTCACAGTTCAATCTACAACAAAATTTAATGCTCTTTATACTAACTGGTTAGCTGATTCACTTGGAGTTGGCTTTATGCAGAACTAAGGGAAGTAAACCATAAGTGAAAGTCTTCTATTTAAAATAATTAGTGTTCCATCAGGTAGGTCAAAGTAAAGATGGCTGCTAATAGCTTTGCTTTCTTTTAAGCAGAGGCTGGTGGCATTTACTAATGCATTGTCCATTTTGATGTTGGGTAGAGCTGGGAGTATCTGTGGAGAATAACCACAGAGGGAAAAGGTCTTCCTTACCATCGGGTACCACCTTAAGAGTCTTTGCATGATCGTCCTAATCCTCATTACCAGATTAACGCAACCTCTTATATAAGACTTGAATTATGAATATCTCAAGGCTCTGTTGCTTCATATTTTGTGTTGCAATATTTATCCCTGTGTTATATTAGTTTCCTTCACATAGGATCCTTATCTTCATTGGTTTTGTCCACAAGTGGCTTTTCTCCAGAATGGCTTGTCCATAATCCTGCTCTTGAGAAGGATTGTTGATTATGTTGAGAGGATTTCTGAGGTTATCAGACTTAGCTCTCAATGTTTATCTCTTTGGGGTTCTGCAGGTGACAGAGCTGAATGAACCTCTTTCCAATGAAGATCGCAACCTCCTCTCTGTGGCCTACAAGAATGTAGTTGGTGCCAGGCGATCTTCCTGGAGGGTCATTAGCAGCATTGAGCAGAAAACCATGGCTGATGGAAATGAAAAAAAATTGGAGAAAGTTAAAGCTTACCGGGAGAAGATTGAGAAGGAGCTGGAGACAGTTTGCAATGATGTCCTGGCTCTCCTTGATAAGTTCCTCATCAAGAACTGCAATGATTTCCAGTATGAGAGCAAGGTGTTTTACCTGAAAATGAAAGGTGATTACTACCGCTACCTGGCAGAGGTAGCTTCTGGAGAGAAGAAAAACAGTGTGGTTGAAGCTTCTGAGGCAGCCTACAAGGAAGCTTTTGAAATTAGCAAAGAGCACATGCAGCCAACACATCCAATTCGTCTGGGCCTGGCCCTCAACTTCTCTGTATTCTACTATGAGATCCAGAATGCTCCTGAGCAGGCCTGCCTGTTAGCCAAACAAGCCTTTGATGATGCCATAGCTGAGCTGGACACATTAAACGAGGATTCCTATAAGGACTCCACACTCATCATGCAGTTGCTGCGAGACAACCTTACCCTCTGGACGAGTGACCAGCAGGACGAAGAAGCAGGAGAAGGCAATTGAAGATCTTTTGAGTCCCTGGCCCTTCCTTCACACCCCCACCACCAATTCTTCCTTGCCACAATCACTAAATATCTAGTGCTAAACCTATCTGTATTGGCAGCACAGCTACTCAGATCTGCTCTCCTGTCCCTTGGGAAGCAGTTTCAGATAAATATTTCATGGGCATTGCTGGACTGATGGTTACTTTGAGCCCACAAGAGCTCCCTTTCTGAATTGTGCAGAGAAACGTGGTCTAAATGAGGCATTTTACTATGCCTGTTGATCTATGGCAAATCCAGATGAAAGTTATTGTGGAGTTTAGAAAGGAGAATTAGCCACACAGGCTATGGTTGATATTTAAAACAAGCTGATAGTGTTTTGTTAGCAGTACATCTTGTGCATGCAAAAATGAATTTAACCCTCCCACCTGTTTCTTCAGCTAATGGAAAACTTAATGGAAGCTGATGATACAGAGAGACAACTTGTTCCTTTCCATCAGCTTTATAATAAACTTTAATGTGAGGTTTCAGTAGCACCTTGTTTTTGCCTCTTTAAATTATGACGTGCACAGATCTTTTCAATGCAATGCATCTAAAGTTTTGATACATGCAACTTGTTTTGGTTGTGATTAAGAATCATGGATTTTTTTTTTTTTGGTAGCTCTTTGGCTATTGTCTTTGTGTATCCTGACAGCACCATGTGTGTCAGCCTATGTCAATCAAGATGGGTGATTATGAAATGCCAGACATCTAAAATAAATGTTTTTGAATTCAAAGGGTAAATAAATGCTGCTTTGGGGATATTATCTTTGTGTATAGCCTTGATTTTTTTCCCCTCCCAAGGAGCTGTTTAGACACCATTTTGAATCCTAGTTGGAGCCCCTCAAACATTAAAGCATTGGTCATATGAGATTCAGGATTTCCTCCCTTCTGATTCCATTACACATTTTGCAGCATATACTTAAAAGTTCATGGACTTTAGTTTTTTGTGAACACAACTCCCATAGCTTCTCTTAACTTTTCCTAACTGATTCTTATAAAAGTAAAACGCCATCCTTCACAGTATGGAACGTTTGAAAGAATGTGGCCTGTGTTTAACATGGGAGGGTGTTGTTTAGTCCACTCTGGTATGTTGTTTTTGATACTTCCCTGAACATAAGTACCAAGCTTATACGGGTCCCTAACTATTCCTAATTGGATACAATAAAATGTTAATTAGGGGCACACCTGGGTTTCAACTTGCCAATGATTAAAACTAGACCTATATCTTTTACCATGCACTGAACTAAAATCAAAATGGGTCAAAGATCTAAATATTAAGACAGAAACAGTAAACCTGCTGGAAGAGAGGTTAGGTAGAACCCTTGACATTGGTGTAGGAAAAGACTTTTATGAACAAAACCTCAGTAGCACATAAACTAGCATGAATCAGCAACTGGGGTCTTATTAAAAAGCTTGTGCACATCAAGAGAAACCACTGTAAGAATGAGAGACAACCTACAATCTGGGAAATAATTGTGGTTCTTGAAATAAATTTTGATGGTTAAGAAAATTTTAAATAATTCATTAAAATAAAGTCTGATAAAAAAAAAGTTAACCCTTAAACATTCTGGCTTGCTTCATCCCAAGGAATCCCTTGAGGCCCAGCCTTATGATCTGAACCTCAAGTGATACATCCTGGCCCTCACAGTTTTATCATTGTGGTACCTAGTATCAAGCATTTGTGTGTTCAAGTGGATTGGTTCAGCACGCAGAGGTCTTAAACACCTTACTCTTGACTAAAGGTTGGCACTAGGTTGGTGAAAATGGCTATAGCCCAGTCTGCCCTTGAATTTATATGATGGAAGGGCCAAGGACTTAGTGGTTCCACTGCCTACCTCACAAGCGCAAAGTCCTGAGTTCAATCCCTGGTACTAAAAAATAATTAAAAAATGGGAATTAATATGATGGGGCACAGAATTCCTTCTGAATGAGGGAAATTTAGTCTACTTTTTTTTAAATCAGGAAGTAGAGGTATGACTGCCAGGTACTAATAAATGATTCCTAGGATCATATTTCAAATTGGCCTGATTGTAAGCTAAATGGTTATTGAGTTTCACTTTAATTAGTAGGTCAGGTATCTTAAAGCTATGGACCTTATATAGTTAAGTCAGTTGGCTCTGATAAGTAGATACAGAATTACTCAGCTTTGAATTGTCCTTCACAGGTGCTGAAATACTCTGGTTTCACAACCATCATAACAGCTAAGTCTTGCAAGTGGTCTGTCCATCCACAGGTGAATGGATAAAGAAAATGTACGTACACCATGGATTACTACTCTGCCATAGAGAAGGATGCCATTTGTAAGAAAATGGATGCACTTAGAGACCATAAAGCACTTAGAGACACAAGTTTCAATATTGTACATTTTATGTGAGACCCCAAAGTACAAAATGCAAAATAGAAGATAATAAGAAATAGGGAAATGTTTTGCAAAAAGGAAGAAGACCAAGAGATGGAGCAGGGGAGGAGAGAAGAGGACATGGAAGAAGAAATAAGGTGTTATGAACATACCAGTTTCCCACCAGGAATGTAATTAAGTACTGCAAACACCCATAAAGAAAAAAGGATGCTTTGTCCCCACTTTACAGATGAGGAAGCTTAGGTGCAAGTTTGTAGACTTCGCGGTTGACAGGCCAGAGGACGGCCTTCCTCGAGACCAGAGTTATAACTTCCCTTAGCTGGGTCCCAGCATAGCCGTGCTGCTAAAGGCTGTGGGGTTCTTTGGTAAACCATGCTATTTCAGAAGCACAGGTCTCTCATTTCTCAAGTGTAGGATTTGGATTATATTTTAACTCTCAATACTCAGCATGTGTGAGGCATCCTCTTTGGGAGTGGGGGATGGGGAAGTAAGTACCCCTTCTGTGATGAATGGGGTTCCTTGAGAGGATGTAAGAGGGTATACATTGGCATAAATCTGGGAGATTTCTCCATGGCCTGAGAAAGGTTTCCTTCTGGGTTTTTTTGTTTTTTGTTTTTGAGACAGGGTCTCACTATACATACAGTTCAGGCTAGCCCATGTAGCTGAGGCTAGTTTTTTTTTTTTGTTTTTTTTTTTTAACAAAAAGTCAATATATTTCTATTTTGTTTACATCACAAAAAAGTTAAATGCAAACTAATGGACACTGATTTTCATCCTCTATCAGCTTTTACATGGCTTAGGAGAATGTCTAAATTATGTTCTCCAATGCAATATACTAAAAAGCATGAAGTGCTTAACAGAAAAAAGGACTAGCCCAAATATGAATAGTAATTGCTTATAATAACTAGAGTGGTTATAAAAAAGACATTTAGAAATTATGGCTGGGCTAAGCTTTCCTCACAAGAACACAACCTTAAAAATCAAGGCAAAATGTACTGGACTACTTTCTGAAGGCAAGAATACTACTGGAAAAAGGAAAACCTTTTAACCAAGCTGCCATCCTTCTGCTTATAAAGGGTCATCTCAGTGTTACCACAGGGGAACAAATCCAAGGAAACAAAATAACTTTGAATAGCACTCAGATCGTTATTCAGGGTACTTTGTAACATGCCACTCTCTTATTTGGGTTGAGACTAGAAAAATAGGATGTCACACATTCTGGGGACACTTGAACTGCTGTGTGTGTGTGTGTGTGTGTGTGCGTGCGTGTGTGCGTGCGCGTGTGCACGCACGCATGTGGTGTTGGGGATTAAACCCAGGACCTTGCTCAGGTTAGGCCTAGCACTGAACCACATCCCTAGCTTGTTTTAAGTGCTTTTAATATTTTCAGTTAGAAATGAAATTATGTTTGGAAAGGCATGTTTAAATTGATGTTATTGCTTTACATTTCCAGTAGCTGCTTAAGTCTTGCTCACATCTATTTCTTTGAGATGGGAGCAGGGTTAGAATTTTTTGATGACAGCCAATTTAAGTCACTTGGGATCCCTGAACCTAGGATTGCTCTTGGCCCTCTAAGGTAAAGCAGGCTGCATTTGGACTGTCAGGCCTTCCACACATCCCTCCCATATTTCCTTAGAGGTTACGTGGCATACAAAGACTTGAGAAGGTTTTCATTTCTCAGGAGGCCCTCACAATTATCAGGCAAGCACCAACGCCATAATTCAAGCATCAAGAGTCAACATTATGGTGGGATTTAGACCATCCCCTTATGAAGCCCAAACATTAGGCTGCCCGATGAAGACCATCATTTCTTTCTTTTTTTCTTTTTGGTTTCTTTGAGAAGGATCTTGCTATATAATTTAGGCTGTTCTTGAACTCACTATGTAGCCCAGGCAAGCCTTGAACACATGGTGATCCTTCTGCCTCAGCTTCCTGAGTGCTGAGATTACAGGGTTACTTTCTTCTTTATGTTTGCCTCTTTTGCCAAATTAGTTTTTGAAATACCCCAATTCCCAGGCATATTCCCCCTCACCCCCTTTTCGAGACACTCTGTGTAGATCTATGTAGGTCAGGCTGGTCTGGAACTCACTATGTAGCCCAGTTTGGACTTGAACTCTCAGCCATCCTCTGACCTCAGCCTCCTGAGTGCTAGGATTATAGGTGTGCACCACTGTGCCTGGCTCCCAGGCATATTCTGCAATTGGGACCTTAACTGCTTTTTGTTCTCCTTAATCCCTGGAGCTCCTTCAGAAAATGAGGTGCCTGCAGGTGCTATAGTGATAAGTGAAGAGATGGTCCCAACCATCACCAGTTAAAATCTCTCTCCAGTTGCATCTGTCTTGTTCAACTTTCTCTCATTTTCGCTCAGATTCTTACTTCCCTTTTGAAATACTTTTCTTTTGCCTTGTCCAAATTGTGTGAAATCCTGTCTTCTTCCTGGCAGCTGCTGTGAGCTGTTTTGGAATCAGGACTGTAGGTGTGTACCCACAAAGGCATTTGCCATCCCAGCGATGGCAAATTACATTCTGTAATCCCAGCGAACGGCTGTTATATGGTAGACATTAGGTGGGTGGCTGGAGATACCTTGGGAAATTGACAGACATGAGCCATATTCTTGTAGGTTTAACACAGTAGTGGGAAAGATACAATAAAAAGACAAAGTAAGTGAAAATGTCTCTGTTTCCTCCCCAGGCCTAGCCCAGAACTTACTGAATTCATGAATAATTGATTGACTTGAGGCCAGAATTAAAAAAAAGAAATGAATGAAAGGAGTCCTTTATTTCCCCATCCAAATCTACTGATAAGCCACCTAAGAACCCGAAGGTATGGCTCTAACATCTCTTGTAAACTGACGGTATGATCTTGAGTGAAGTCCTGGCTTCTTAGTCACCTCTGTAAAAATGAAGTTGTTGCTTTTGGTGGTCTCTGGGAAGCTTTCCATTTACGAGATTCTGTATTATTTTCAACTGCTCAGGGGTGGTCTTTGTCCTCTTCCTGGCCTTTTTTTTCCCTGAATTTCTCCTCCCCTCCTCTCTTCCTTCCGCTCTTTACATTGGTCCCTTCTGCATCCACCCTCCACCCTCTTTACTTTCCTGACCACTCCCTTCTTCCACTGAGATGGTTACCATGGGAATCCTCTCCTGGAAGTGACATCACTCATATCCTTGGCAACTGTTACCAGGACAGTGACATCATTTGATCACCATGGCAACCCTCCAGGAGGAGTCATGCAGTGAAATGGGCAAACATAATTCTTATATATTTCTGGGGGTTGAGGGCAATGTAGGGAAAATATTAAAAGAGGAAAAAAAAATCTCAGGAACAAGAAAAAACTTTAGCTTTTTTTTTTTTTTGAAAAGTGGAAACCAGTGGGGGGCTGAAAAAGAGCAGAATTTCTGAGGC